TTCGAGCATCATCAACACTTGGGGTCTGCATCATGGAGGTTACTGCTTTAGCCCATTATTTTTTTCTGGTTATCTCTTGCCGACATTGTCGTCATTTTCCTGAATTGACTGACGGAATCATCATTCCAAAGCCCGGCTCGAGCGATTTGGGCAGACAACTGCAATGTTCTTTCGTGGAACCAGTCACTGCGGCGTCCCTGGGGGTATCCAAGTGTTTTCTCAGCTGCCCCATAGACTGAAGACTTTGATGATAGAACTGACTTCTGTTTTCTCCGTTAGCTTGGGTCTTAAAACAAGACCGGATCTCTCTGCCCAGGGCCTCGATGGTGTTGAGTTGTCGTAATTTTGCGACGTGCGGCATTTTGGATGCGGATGATAGGTGGGCTTTCAAATGTGTGCGAACGAGAACATGGCCCGACCCATGGACGTTACAAATTTCGACATTACGCATTAATCTGCTATCGCGAATCCAACTGCGGAACCTTGAACCAAATAGAATATAGTCGGCCTGACGGCTGTGCAACTATCGCTAGACTATCAGGTCAGAAAATGTTTGTGACAGTGCTGGGAGCCCGCGTTAGTGACAAATAGCTGGCTTTGCTAAGCGAGATTAATTATTCTCTAGCCATTGTCACTCTGAAATCTGAGCCCAAAACGGCCAATAAAGTGACCGTTTGAAGTATAGTCAGATCCAGGTCGGCCATTTCAGTCCCCGACAACGATCAGCAGATCACGACGGGAGAGCCTTTCAGCTAACGCTTGCAGCTGCGAGTAAAAAATTTCTTTATGGCGCTGTTCGGCAGCTGATGATACGTACACGGAGACGACAGAGATGGTCGCAAAGTTACCTTTTACTCGCACGTAGTCCATCCGGTCATTGACTGAACCCAAGCAAGAAGTGTGCAATTCATCTGTTGCGAGAGTCGTGTGGGCCACTGTGGTACAGACTCCGGGGATTGTGATTTCGCGAGCGCAAGTGCCAGGAATTCGGACTTCAGACAGGCACCAGCCATCCACATTGTAATGGAGAAGACTGCGAGCTGTCAGACTTTCGGTACCAGGGTCCTGAAATTTGTGCATTTTCCAACATCTTATACCAATAATCCGTTCCCGATTGAGCTGGCCCGCTCGCTTACTATTCGTCTGCGCCACTGGACCAGGGTTGCGGAAGGCGTCCGTCACCGCGGACGCGAAAGCGTGGATCGTAAAATCGTAGCCGACCATTTCCATGGGGTTTCTTGGGATATTGAGTACAGGCCGGACCCAACAACCGCTCTGATAGTTTGTTCGATGTTGCATCCTCTAGCGTTCTGGCTTGAATATCAAGCAAGAAGGCAGCGGGGGCAAACTAAGCTATTTAATGGCGGTTCACGGTCGACCTTCCACAGAGCCGTCATCAGGATTTGTGGAATTTTATAAGGCTGTCGGAGTGCCAGACCTCAGCCCATCGAACACTGGTAGCAATATCATTGCTAGTCCGCGACTGCTTATTCGCCAAAACCAAAAGTCTGCTTATTTAACAGCTAACCTTCGTTGAAGGCCGTTCTACTATCCGCCACCTGTGGCGTGAATTCCACAAGTGATGGGAGCCCGTTTTAGTTTCAAACACTCCAACACATAATCTGTTTATAACCCTTATTATCCTCTTACTCCCGTTGAGTTAGCTAAAGCCTGCAATAGATATGCCTGCTTATTAAAGCGTGGCCGACATTATGAAAGGTGTTTTCAGTTTGAGAAGATTACCTAAGTAGGATTGCCGTATTAATAATCGTGTCGAATAATGTTAAGATATTCCAATCACGACAGGGTTCCGGCTAGCGAATGAGCTCCTTAACGACAGCTTGCAAATTACGTTTTCGATCAATTTTTACTGGAAGAAAGTGTGTCTTTCCGTTTTGACAAACTTTCCCAACTTCCGACTAATAGTGAACCCGACCTGCCGCTACGCTCGCATTCCGGGTTTCCGAACCAAAAACTGCATACTTTTCCTGCGGGTAAAACCATACACTCACATATGTATGCTATTACGAAGAGGACATGGGGTGGGGTCGTGAAATTTCGTAATTGATATGAACCACGTTGTCCACTTTATGAGCGGCATTAATAAATGCGCTGTTGTGATGCTCTTCGATTGAACATTGCACGGTCTTAGAAAATCTCATAATTAGAAACTTTTTACGACTGAATGACACTCTCTCTTCAAGTACAAAATTTGAAGAAGACGTAATTTGCTACCAAATGAGTAAATGAAAGAATATTTCGTGAATGCTTTCTAGAAAATACATATGAATTTATGAAGGTACCAAAAGTCAATGGTAAAAATCCATGCCACTTAATCAGTTATTTTTACGGAGTATAATATATGCAAGCGGTAGATAAAAAGCTCATTCTCAAGCCGGCGTCCTGACGTGATTGGAATATCCCAACATTTTACAATGGGAAAATTGATATAAAAACACCACTTAAGTAATATTTTCGAACCGAAAACCCATTTCAGAATTGTAATCGACATTTCACGCGACAGAGCACCCACTGTATGTACTTATTTGGGGATACTTACACGTAGCCCGTTACAAATCAGAATAATAAGTAGACGTAATTACTGACATTAAAATATCGACCTCAGCACTGGTTAACCCCCATAACTACCAAGTAGTACATAATGAGTTTCATAAGGATCATAAATACAACAGGCTGGGAAGTCTTCTCCCGACAGTACACCTTTCAAAATAATCTAGAATTGTATCCCTGTATCCGAGGATCAACAATAGTTCTGGTGCAAGCACCTCGTGAGGGTTCCGCAGCAGTGGCTTCCTAAGTTAACTGGCGATCATGTATTGACCGGAGAGGATTTTTAAGAAAAAGAGACGGTCTCAGTGATTGTATTATTTAAGTGTGGATTTTCGAGCGACGGCTTAGGTAGTTCATTATCAGAGACCGAAGGGCTGATTGCGCGGCCAGCACTAAATGACCCACAGGATAAGTGTTATGAGGAAGCAGATTGTAAGCTAATAGTCTGAGATCCACCTGAACTCTTGGAGCCATGCTATAGAACTTCCTTCACCTTCGGACGACCACATTTGACAAGATCGGAAGCACTCCAATGGTCTGAGAACGAGATGCGATCACTGGGACAGAATTTTAGTTGCCTCACGTTCCGGATTCAACACTTGCATCCTGTGTACACATAGTCGAGGAAAGAGACGAAACCTCACAGGTCGCAGATTCTTGTGGGCGCCTATGGGCGTACAGAAACGACCGAAAACCGTTTGTCACTTTCCCACACCTCATGGTGTTAGGACTGCACACTGGTCGGAGGCAAACGTCAGGTGTCTGATCACGAGGCCGTAAAACCTACTGCAAAGGCGAGAGATGTCTGGAGTCGACTGCCGCATGTGGCGTAGTTACGGACAAAGCAACCGTGTTGGGAAAATCAGAAGACTCCTCCAGACGTGGATGGCCGAGCACCCAGTAGCAGTGAGTATGAACGACGCCAGCCTCCAGGTCGCGGCTCATTCAAGGAGACCGGCCACACATTTAAGTTCGATGGGGTCGGAATTCTCGCTTGAGGTGACAACCGCGTGTACAGCTAACAGCTTGAATCCTGATATTCCAGCCTCTAGCCGATTAACAAGTGCACTGATTTCCCGCCTCCATATTCTGGGCTGCGACACTGCGTAGGAAGAGTAAAACGGCAAACAAGGAGCGCGAGGGCAAGCACTGTTCTCAGTGCCAGCGTTGATGGGCCAAATAACCCAAGAACCCGCACGTGTGATGAAATTGCGTCAATCAACGACTCGGCCGCGGACAATCAAGCGATTACTGCACCACGTGTGACCATCTACAATAGTAGTACAACTGGTAGTTGTCAATTGTGATAGGTATGCTGCGGCATAGCAACTGCAGCAAGTACATACCGCAGCACTTGTGTGACGCAATACCCCCATCCGACTCCATTTCTGGTGATGTGCTCGGACTCGAACCCGAAACTTCAGACAAATAAAACTCTTGTTCCAGCGATCGGTCCCCTTCTTCTCGAGAGCTTCCTGCAAATTGCCCTCCGGCTTATTTCGGCACTTTTCCTGGGTCCCAGTTCCAGGCCATATCTTGTTGTTGCTGGTGGTGGTGCTGTGTCACGGGGACATGAAACTCATGGGTTCAAGGCGTATCGATCCAAATTTTAGGTGCGCTGTTTCGATGACACTTTCGTCACCACCTAGTGAAATGAGGTCACATACGCAATCGCTTCCCCTTCGGTCAGCCTATCAGGAAACTTACATTCTTCTGCGATTAGTAGATGGACTTTAAAGTCATGGGTCGTAAAACAGCATTTTTTATCTAACATCAGGTTGCCTAGTTTACGTTTCAACTCCCACGCAAGTGTCCAGCCTATAATACGGATTTAAAAATTACAACATTAAAGCTAGCAATCATCACATGGTCAATACAAAAGTACTAATCTATACGAGTATGTCTTTAGTATTCCAGTGTAGGAGAACAGCGAGATTTTTTGCTACGTAGGGGATTATGCTTTGCTGGTCACCATATTTTTCCAAAGATGGAAGTTTAACCAATAGGAGACTTTGACTACATTCTCCAAACACTATTTAGTAAAAAGGTAACATTCCTAGAAAAATGCCGATGCTGCTGTTTGTACCCCAGAATATTTGGCACAAGGCTTGCCAACAAGAACGTCATCATGGACCTCTATAAGCTACGACTGGTGTTATTACAAGACGAATAGCAAATGACATTACCTTTAAGCTTTGCTGTCAATAGAGTCGCCAATAAAACCCTATACTTTGGCAAGTCGCTGCATAAATTCGGGCAAGCATCTGTCAAGAGAGTAGCTCACATGCTAAAGGGTCGACGAAAACAAAATTTGCGGCACTGGAACTCTTCAACCTCGCAGGAGGATTTGCAGAACTGCATAGGAACTCTTAGTAATGGTGTTAACAAAGTTATTTCCTCAGGGCACATGTCATCCAAAGCGCACAGCACTACTGCTTCAGTGATATGTCATAATCATCATCATCATCATCATCATCATCATCATCATCATCATCATCATCATCATCATCATCATCATCATCATCATCATCATCATCATCATCATCATCATCATCATCATCATCATCATCATCATCATCATCACCACCATCGTCATCATCATCAATTGACCACTCAGGGTGCGCGCAAGCCGGGGAGCCAGGTGGCCGAGCAATCATCACGGCCAGAATCCAACACGGGTGATGACATTTCGGTAATTAACAACTGGCATGCCGACCAGCAATCAATTAGCGCACCAGCGGACAACGATCCTTCATGAAGGGGAGCGCGGTTAATTGCTATAGGTATGCGGTAGCATAGCCACTGCATCCTATAAATACTGCAACTACCTGTGCACGAGTCACCCTTTTCTGCTACTGTCTCTGATGATGGATTCAAGTGAGAGTCCGAAACATCAGGCGAATAAAGACGTTGTTCCAGCGATCGCTTCTTCTTCTGATCAACTGGTTCCTGGAACTCGCATCTTCGCTTGTATCATCATCATCATCATCATCATCATCATCATCATCATCATCATCATCATCATCATCATCATCATCATCATCATCATCAGCAGCAGCAGCAGCAGCAGCAGCAGCAGCAGCAACAGCAGCATCGTCATCATTTACCTATATCACTTGTCACTATGCGACTGCCCGCGAGAATTATAGTTTAAGTCCCAAGAGACAACTGGTCGAGCACGACTCTTAACCTGATCGGTGAGCGTCCATCTATTATATGTATATATATATGTATATGAAAAAGGGAAGGTTATCCGGAAAATCGGGTTGTACTCGTGAATTTCCAAGATAGTGATACCAACCTGTCATCAGGCGAAATGAGCAGAGGAGAATGTGAGATCGGCGGACTAGATCGGTTGGTGCGACAGAACATGCAACGACAGACACACAGCTGGTGCGTGAGAGGGGTGGGCACCGAGTTATGGTAAGCTTTGGGGTGGGGGGAGGGAAGGGAGAACCGTTAGGGCTCTCAGTGCTGGAGGTGGACGAGGATCAGTGGAGATGCGGCGGCTGGTTATTGATACGGAATGAGGTCAGGGGTCAGTGCGCCGGCGTTGGAGGTGTTGGGAGTTTTGTTTGTTGTTCACCGTGTCGCAAGGGAGGTGAGTGGAGAGACAGCAAAATTTCACGTGGCCGGGTGGTGGTTTGCAGCTGTTAGGGTCTGAGAACATATTTCTCCAGCTCTTTGTGTCAAACACAGGACTAGATTTCATTTTTGTTGGAGGGGTACGAAACTGACGAAGTTCGTATATTGTCCAGACCAGATTTTCTTCCGATAGACGCTCCTTCGGACGCTTCCATCAGGTCTCCTGTTTAGAAGAACATCTAAGGGAGCGGACCGGTCAATTTCATCTGCAACGTGAATTTGGTCGACGAATGTGCCTGATTTGCAGCAATTTACTACACAAAGCTACGAAAAATGTTCATAATGTAACATTATTTGCAGTACGTTCATAAAACGTTCGATGGTTGAATCAGTTACTTTTAGCTTATCCTCGGCTTAACATATTCCTATGCATTTATGATGCTCTGTTATAGATCAATGAGAGTTTTCGGCTTATAGCAAAATGCCTGGTTTTCGAGTATTTTCCAGAGGAAGAAACCTGGAGGATCTTGCGGGTCGTTCAACGGAACAACGACTGCCTGTCCATCTACCAGGTAAATGTGTATAAAGCAACTTTTGAACAGAGAGACTTTAATGAACAGCGGCGTCATCTTGTTGAAAGTGCAAATTAGCGTAATCTACCCGCTAAGACACTACAGGTCACAGTGTATTGTATCTTCAAGGAAGAACGGGCCAGTTAATCATGCACTGAAAGTGCCACCACAACTAGGCTCCTGTTGTAATTTTTAATGTAGATTTTAATCTGACCAATAGTCAATGACCGATCTCATGATATGTTAGTCGAAATTCTGAAATGCGTTCTCAATTAAGAAGGATTACTTTGGTGGGGTTGTAATACTACTTATTACGCGGCATATTCCCAAGCTATTTCGGACTGGCCAGAATGCAGACTGTTGAATGCACTTCTTTCGGACCTCCCGTAAAATCTTCACTCGGTAAAAGAACGACTGCCTAAATAGTATGACTTTTTCACATGGAGTTTCGGTGGTTTTATAATTTCAAGTATGTTTTATAGAAAACATGCATAAAATATGCCCCCTACTTCTAATTTAGTAGCAAATCACTTCGTCTTCGCACTTTTTCACTCGAAGAAAGGGTGTTTGCAGGTTTTGAAAAAGTCTTCCAGTTCTCGAATAATTTTGACTCAGACCAGTCGTTGCATTAGCGTTTAGCGTTTTCAGTCAATAAGGTGTATGCTTTCGCGTTAGAAAAATCATATATTCCTCTAGACCTTTGAAAATATAGCGTGTACAGTTCGTAAAATTTTGCAATGTATGCAGACTATGTCAAATGCTTCATGAGGAGCATTGCTAAACGGATAGGTACGATTATGCATAAATGGGCATTGCATGGGCTTCGAAAATCTCATGAACGGGACTTTTGTTAAACCGAGAGGCACTCTTCCTTCGAGTGCAAAACGTGAAGATGGCGTGATTTGCTACCAAGTGAGGGCAACGGTAGGTTGTGTAACTCCACTTCGCAACCATTATCCACAGGCTCGTGTAATACAGAAATGGTGGTAATAGGGGTTTTACGGGTGGGACATCGCCGCGTTGGGGGAGCGAAATGTATGCAAGAACACTTAGAAAATAGATAGGTTTCCACCAAAATTCTTCTTACGCGCCTATATGTACCAGCGGAAGCGAGTGAATTAATTGAAAAATAAATAAAGGCAACTCTCAATAAATAACAGGTGATTGAATAGTCCGCTGCCCTCAAATTTGCGAAAACCCAGGGATCAATGGAACGAACAAGTAATAGGAGGCAAGAACAATAAGTGCCAAATATTGCAACGGTGAAAGTTTACTGCGAGGTAGCATGACACACGTGTATATTAGAGAAGCTATGGAAATGCACACCAATGAACAGGAAAAAACTGAAATAAAACGAGTATAAACGCCTGTTTCTATCTTCATAATAAGTTAGCTGACTACTGTAAAATAAAATTTTAAAAAAATGAGGACTTACGTTTAAAAGTTATGTATAATGATGAAATTTATTTATGAACACAGTAGGTAATAATGGTTTTTTCCTTCTAAAATACAGACCATTAAACCTTAGGTCGCAAAATGTCCGTTTCTGACCAAAGTCGAGGTACTAATCGGAGCTATAAATCATGAGAAGGTGATATAATAATTCCAGACAAGGGGACTGCTATCTTGTGTGGCAAGATGCAAATGTGTTAGGCTGCACACCCGACGGATATGTATTCCGGTACGGCCAACGTCGAAGGAGAGAAGCTCTAAGGGCTCCAGTGTCGCGTATGGGCCCTGTAGACAGGGTTCAATATTGTCTGTGATCTGGCCTACACAGTGTTGGCTTGAAGCAAGCGTGGAAAATATTTCTGTCGCATATTAAGGAGACATACCCGGAGGAACAGCGTCCCAAACAGGGAACACGAAAGACTCCTTGAACTCAATTCGACGGACATTTATAGTAAACTTTTGCACATAAATTCGACCGAATTTAACTGCCTTATTATTGGTTTTACATGGGACAACACACAACTAAAATTGAAGAAGTAAATAAGCCATGGTGTGCGCGTTCAACAACAGACATAGCTTCGAGATCTCGCGGAAGCCGAGGGTTTGTGTTCTGAGGAAAAGTAAATGAAAACGCAGCCGACGATTAGTACAGCAATCGTTATATGATGAGTATCGACATGACAAAAATATATAGCTGCCCTTTTGAAAGAACCGGTTTACGGTGAGAGGGGTGAAAACCGAAGACCGCCTCATGTCAGATCATCTGTCACTAGAAAAGATCATAGTGAAATAATTGGTTCTTGTGGCTATGTCGTTGTGGCAGGTAAAACTCAAAGATTGACTTCCTGTAAGTGTGAATCCATAGACTAAACAAGGTCTACTAAAACAAATATAGTAGTTAGTTAGACACAGTAAATACAGTGGAGTTGAGCAGCCTATCCATATTCGTCGCGCAATAATCAATATTACTTCACCGCCCAAGAAATCCTTTCCACTTGAGAGTCCATTTCAGAATTTCGGCTGACATTTCATGAGATCAGTCACCCAGTGTAGTTTTGTCAGTTGACTAGTCCATTTGGCTTGAAGCAGACTTCATTCGACCAAATAATACTGCTCAAAAAGTCTGGAAAATCCTCGCATGCAGCCACAAAGGTTTCGCGAAATTGAAGAGACCTGTCTACGTCATCTTCGTTAAGAGGGTGGAGTACATGCGAACTATATGGGCGCGAGCTGATATCCAACAGGATGCGTTGTGTAGACGATCGCGATATGTCCTACTCTGTAGACGTCGTCCCTCTGATTCCTGCGGGTTGTTGACGTATGACTGTGGCCCGAGGCATAATAATTATAACAGCATGAACACATTCCTCGATTTCTAAAGTGCTTTGTAATTAAGCCATGTCTCAAATGAAAGAAGGCGATAATAGATCCGAAATTGGCTAAAACGAGGACAAGGTCTTGTACGTTGAAAGTAGTGCAAGCAAGGGCTACTGCAAGTTCGTGCGCAAGGTTTACATTTTGATTGATTACCGTAACTTTATGAAACGAAATGCTGTTCAATTTAATTTTAAATTTTAATAATTATGGTTCGGTTACATCTGGGCCACTCTTTATATGCGTGCATGTGGGCCCCTAAAACGGACCATGCCGGTGTGGGGGGTGTCCAATAGTGGGTCCACGTGATGGTCGTAGTAAGTCGCTCACCTGCTTGCAGGTGTTGACTACGCCCGGCGTCCATTAACTGGCATTCCACTCACACAAGTAGATCCCCGAAGCTAAGCGGCTACACCCGGGAAACCGCTCTGACTGCCAGGTTAAACCACATGAGGGAATGCATGTGTGCACATTCACACACAGTAATTCTGTTCTCCCTCCACCTCTCAAATGAGGCTCCACCTGTAATCCCGCAGGAGACCACAAGCACTCAGCAAGCTACTAACTCAGTAGCCGGAAGACCTGCCTTTTTCTACTCCTTCCTACCTTCTCTCCGCACTTCACCTCTCCTGCTGCTGTCTACTCTTCCCTGCTGTCTTAACCCACGGTCGAAAATCCTACGGCGAGGGGGACAACAATTACGTAGGCGGCCCAGGCCATTGGTCTTTCTCTGGGTAAACCTCGTGACTCATAGGGAGAGCGGTATCCGTATGGTACGACAAAGCAGTGCTACTTAGGGTGAGCACTACTTTCCCCCGCGTGGGGAGGGGCTATAAAAGATACCCTAAACAAAGTTGGGATCACGATCTTTACGCGCAGACCGTGCCTCGCAGACTTCTTAACATACGGTCGAAACCAAAACACGTGGCAAACACTCTTTCTTTCTCTCTTTTATCTCCTCCTCCCCGCCGTCCCACTCGCCAGACTGGTAGGGTGAGTCCGCTCACTCTGGCAGCCTGGAATGTTCGTTCCCTTTCAGATGATCCCAGGAGCAACCGGCCTGAACGGAGGATGACGCTTATCGCTCGAGAACTGGCGCTTTACAGGGTGGATATCGCCGCACCCTGCGAGACCCAGTTCCCCGAACAAGGCAAACTGGAGGAGGTGGATAGCGGCCACACCTTTTCTGGGGCGGCTGCCCACATGGCAGAGCGACGAGACGCGGGCATCGCCCTTGCCATCCGTAACGACATCGTAGGACGACTGCCCTCTCTGCCACAGAACATCAAAAACTGTCAGATGAGCCTACGCCTGCCTCCCCAAAGAAGCAAATTCGCCACCACCACCAACGCCAAGAACCCAACAATGACCGGCTCAGAAGAGCCAAACACAAAATCTGCGAAAACCTGCATGCCCTCCTGATATCTGTGCTGAAGGCGGATAAGTTGATCGTTCTTGGTTACTTCAGTGCCCGCGCCGTGACAAACTGTGCTGCCTGGAGAGGAGTTTTGGGTCCTCATGGTCTCGGCAGCTTCAATGACAATGCCATGCTCTTCCTAAGAATATGCGCAAAGCAGCGTCACATCCTGACCAACACCTTCTGTCTGCCGATGGAGGTAAAGGCGACCAGGATTCACCCTCGGGCGCGGCACTGGCACCTGCTGAATTATGTCCTCGTTCGAAGGCGAGACGAGCAGGACGTGCTGGTGACAAAGGCGATGCCGTGTGCCGACTGGTGGACTAACCGTCGCCACATCATTTCCCAGTTGAGAATCTGCCTACACCCTCGTAGGAGACCTCGAGGTAAGCGACCCCCCAGGTAAATTTAATACTGCTTTACTGCATTTGTCTCATTACCATCTCAATTTCAGCATTGAGCTAGCTCAGCGGCTAATAAACCTTCCAATCGCAGCCGTCGCCGTCGCCGAAGAGAACGCCTTCGTGGAGAACCGGCGGTGCAAACTGAGAGATGCAGTCCAGCCAAACACCCTGGCTGTCCTCGGTCGCGCACTTAGCCAACATCAGGACTGGCTCGACAACAATGACGCCTCCATCAGCAACCTACTCGCCGAGAAGACTCGTCTGCACAAAACCTACATCGTCGGCCCTAACGACGACAATAAAGCGACCTTCTACCGTAGTCCCTGCCTTGTGCAACAGTGGCTGCGGGATATTCAGGACGCCTAGACAGTTCGCAAAGACGAGGAGATTCACGGGTACGCGGGCCGCAACGAATGGAAGAGCTTCTTTGCTGCTGTCAGGGCTGTCTACGGTCCCGCATTCAAGGGAACCGCTCCTCTTCTCAGTGCCACGCAACTACCCTACTCAGTAAGAAGACAAAAATTCTACAGCGATGGACCGGACACTCCAGACGTGTCCCCAACCGTTCATCCACCATCTCCGACGCCGCCATCACCGTTTGCCTCAGGTAGAGATCAAGCTGATCTCGACCTTCTCCCTCTGTCCACGAAACCGCCAGGGCAGTGCAGCAGCTCTCCGGTGGAAAAGCGCTCGGTCTGAACCAACCACAGGTGCATCTACCGTCTCCACATGGCCGGAAAGATCTTCGCTCTCCTCCTTCCCAATCGCCTAAACGACCATCTGGAAGAGGGACCCCAATCTGAAAGCCAATGTGGCTTCCGTTGTCATTGAGGCACCATCGACATCATTTTTGCCGCCAGCAGAAGTGTCAGGAGATGCGAATCCACCGCTACTCTACCCTTGTGGATCTGACGAAAGCTTTCGATACGGTAAATCGCAGAGCACTGTGGAAAACCATGCAGAAACTTGGCTGTCTCTAGCGATTCACTCAGATGGTGCGTCAGCTCCTCGACAGCATGATTCCGCGCAGTAAGGACAATGCAGCCGTCTCGGAAGCATTCGAAGAGACCAACGGTGTGACGCAGGACTGCATCCTCGCAACTATCCCCTTAAGTCTCATTTTCACTAGCATGCCTGGAGAAGGACAGTGAAGACGGCCGCAACAATCTACGAAACCAACCGCATAACCACCTCCAAAGTCAAATGTGAGGCTGGCAAATCTCAACTTCCCTCACATCGCAATCCCGGCGCTCAACCACCCTCGTCTTGCCCACGTTGTCGGCGGACGTTCCAGGCATTGATCGATCTTACTGGACACCTCCGTGCTAACCACAACTCATGGACGATGTCATCCGATGTCCATCCGTCCACCCCTGCCTCGTCCCCCAAGCCGGCAGTCATCACAGACTGCACTCGTGAACTCCCACTGTCATCCTCCATTGCCTCAACATATGCTGCGGCGGCTCCCGTTCCACTACCATTACACACAATCCTGACGCACCGTCAAACATTAACCTCACCACCAGTGATCTGGACTCAGTCCAGACCTGTCCACATTCCGATCGCACGGTCAACTCACACATTGGCCTTGTCAGTCACTTGTGGATCCATCGCGCAGAGACTGGCGAACCAGTGCCTGGAGCGCCAATATACGCTCGTAGGATCCGACTCCATTGTCCCAACTTCTCCCGCACACTCATTGAACGCATGGACCTTCTAAGTCACATGCGTATCCACGACAGCCGAATTCACCCTCGTCTCCACACACCTAGTAAGTTCAGCAGATCCAACATGCCTAGCCCAATTCACGCCCTGCTGCCCAGCGCACCCACCACCAGCAGCTCCACCACCGCTACCGCCATCATCACCGAAACCGACACTGACACCGCCGACTTATCCTGTCCACACTGTCTCCGTATATTCACCTCACACCTCGGCCTGGTTGGTCACTTGCTAATCAATCGCACAGAGACTGACGAACCAGTGCCTGGAGTGCCAACCTGCACTCGCCGCACCCGCCTCCACTGTCCACACTGCCCTCAGCACATATACTCGCCCCATGAGCCTATTAGAACACATGCACATTCACGAAAACCTGTGGTAGACAACCGCAGGCTACACCACCAACATTACGCACTGGACAACAACATTACGGATCACAAGCACCCAATTTTCATCTCCCAAGCCAGTGGGAACTGCGCTTCTCGGCTCCGTCTCCATTCGGCTCTTCCGCTGCGTGTGTGATCCGAGTCTGAGATTATCACTGTGCGCGAAGCGCCGTGGCATGGAAGGCTGCCGACTGACGCCCCAAAGCATTCTATGCAGTCTGCCCTGTCGTGTGTGTTTGTGTCGAGAGACGGACTGGTGAGTTGAGAGCCAGGCTGTAACGGCTCCTTCTTACAGTGACCTCTGGCACTTTCACGCACATGAGATGCAGGCCGCCCAACCCCGTTCTGTGAAATCCTCGTGCTTGTGTTTTTTTTTTGGAGGGGGAGTAGTTCGTGCATGTGGCGCACGCAGACAAGGTCACTAGACCATGTCAGCCACCGCGCCCATTCCCCGCACCTATCCACTGACCGGCTCGGACAGTGGCTGGGGCCTGGAAATGGGAAGGGGGAGTGGCGTCGACGATTCACCGCATTTCCCCCACTATAAACAACCTTACGCACCTGAAGCTGTCACGGTGGGCCAAAAGCTATTGTCTGAAAGGTTGTCAACGGACTCGTAGTCGACCCAGTGTTGCGCGTTTGTGTGGAGTGGTCGACTGGTGGCCTACGATTCAGACTGCAATGGTCCCTGCTTAATGTGGCCCTCATGGCACCCACTCCGTGGGATCCGAGCCGGTCGTGATGGTCCGCCTAGGGGCGGATCCGGCCGCGCCAGCCACCTGCGCCATCTCCTACTTCCGGTCCTCTTGTCTCTGTTTTGACACCGGGCCCAGGTGGGAGAGGAGGAGAGGGTGCGACAGATGCAGCGCAAGTTTACATTCATTACAAACTACATCACGTGCAAGTCGCCGTGCCTGCTTCACCTGGCTCTGAAGCATACGGTGGACACCATCGGCAACGACGATAAAATTGCCGCGTGTGTATTGGAAATGTGTTCACCGATCGGCTTACGAGATCTGCTCCTCTTGTTCTACCTTAGGTCTCAACGGGAAGCCCTCGCAGGCAGTTGCACATCGATTGGCGGTATATGCAGATGGGGAATACCGACAAAGATGAAGGTAGTCCGGCTGTCAGTTCTGGCTTATCAGGTGTCGTCAGCCAGTCCAACTCAAACCGAGGTTTGAGAAAACCAAGCCTCGAGACCTCCTTATATCCATTGAACGTTATGAAGTCCAACGCCCTACCACCAATCCACGGATCTCTTGTCCTGTCGATTACGAGTGGGAGTGGTAACTGGGTTGGAAGTGCGTTCATCGATGGGTTTACAGGACCCGCTGGGCAACTGCCTGCTAGAGCCCTGCACTGAACCTTAATCCACATCGCGGGGAACAGGTCACGTAACCAGAGGTGCTTCTATTTCCGTGTCATAACTTTGACCTTAACCCCTCTGGAATTTAGGGCAACGACACCTGAGATATGGTTTGTTCATGATAGTTCGACCGTCGATCCCTGCGTTTTCACTGTGTGCTCCATAGCAGGGTGAGAGCAGGTACAGTGACATGTGTAAGAATAAATTTATAATGGTAGTGGACTTGCGATGCGTGCCCTGTTCTCTCTCATTCGCCCCCACCTGCTCGGTAGATCCATATTCCCGTGCTCAACCCCCCCCCCCATGTTTTCGATGATTCGAAAGGACAGAAACCCTGAGGCGGGAATAACCTCACAACTGGCACAAAAACTGTAAGTCTTACGACTTAAAATCTACTATCGTTGTCATTAACAGGTTCTGAATGCCAGTTACTTTAAACACCTCGGATTCGAAATTACTCTCTCATTTTGCAACATCGTCTTTCTCCAGTTTTTCGACCTCCTGTAAGAACTACTTGTTCCACTGTCCTTGTAATATCTTTTTGAACCATTTGACAACTTAAATAGTGCAAGTCTGCTCCCCTTATTCTTGTGGTCTTCGAAGATTCTGCTTACTTCAACAATAATATTGACGCTCAATAAGGGCGCATTTCAGTCAAGTATACTGGGAAGTTTTGCTTCAAAATCTAGCCTTACTGCCTGGCTTAGGTCCCATTTTCGGGCTGAACGTTTTTAAACTTTACTTGATTTTGATCAAGCAGCTCCGATTAGGCCTGAGCGAAAAATTGCGTTATGTGACGCTTTATCAAAAACACTCATGCTTGGAAATGCTATAATTAGTGACTCACCCGCTCTTCAATTTTTCAGCGTTTACTCGTATTCTGACTACCCCTCAGTACTCGTAAATGCAATTTTGGGTATCCACTGTTCCAGGAAACTGTTATGGCTAAAAGTGCTGCATTTTTTAAATCGAACAATAAGACCCTATCGCTTCGAATCCGATCTTATTACGAAAGAGATCTTCGTTAGGACGTAAAAAGGGTATTGGCTTACCAGGGAATGAAATTTCCAGACCGACTGTTTTGCTGTTTGTTGTTGTCGGCTTTCTTCTCCTTGTTGTTTGCCGAGGTTTGGAAAATCCCAAATTCCTCAGCGTTGACTTGTATTGTTATCTACTTAGGGCGTCTGCGTCATCATTTTCCATTTTCTACAAGTGGGTCCAGTTTTTCTTCAAGGAACTTCCTATCACCGTCGATTGGTACAATAAGTAGACATTTTCGAAAAGTACGTAGTTCCCCGGTTGTAGGACCCGACTATGTCCCCCAACTTGTCCTTTAGTGCAGAACTGTTCACTGCGCACCTCATTTTAGGACATTTAATCAGCAGGTCTTTCATTAAATACAGGATGTTTGATGCTCAGAGCACCATAAAAACCATTTCCTATGCCGATTCACCCGCTTTACTTATTGTTCATCAAATTTCTACAACTCAACAAACGCGTTGCCCTAGAAGATATCATGTCATTTACCTGGAAAATGCATGTTAAACCGTGTGCAGTACCTTCAGTGCCAATACACTAATGCTTTGTTCCGTGCTCGGTAACCTTGACAAGATTTGGCATGCATGCCTGTGTGCATATCCTGAATGCTTATGTCTTCAGTACCTTTCCAGGTCATTTACTTCAAGTATCGCTTTTAAGTTTGGATAGCGCTCCGGCTTGCAGGTTATGTTCTTTCCGAACTTTGTGTATCCATTCTGGCAACCATAAACTTAGTATTTCTCCTAACAGCCGTGGAGAGCTTCATGGTTCCATTTTAATAGCTCAGCCCTCTTTTATTAACACTGATTGTCTAAATTCTTCCAACCACCACAAATGCAGTAAATGAGTTT